ACAGATGAAGCTTTCCATAATTATATAGTGATCCAATATTTCCCTTGAAATATTAAGATAAAATAAATAAGACACAACTTATAATAATAATACTTACTAGAAATAGAAAAATTAAGAGCTGAAATGCAAAACACACCTGATTGTCAGTGTTAGAAACATTTTAGCAGATTCTATTTTTTAATTGTATTAATAAAATGACCATTACATTGCTCAAATGATAAACTTACATCTACCAATAACTAATAATAATGATAACATATATAACATATATGAAACTTTGGGAAGAACAGATATAGACAGAAATAATCATTTTAATTCCTATAAAAATATTACTACATCACAGAATAGATTACTGACTTTTACAGTGGAAACCAAAATAATTTTACTAAGACAAAATACACAGTCTGACTATTTGATGGCTACAAATTCTATATTAGGATGTTTAGAGTTTGTTCCCTAGGTGCATAATTTTCGCTTATATAAATAGAGAATGCTTCACTTGATGAAGCTTTCAAGAAAGAACATTACAGAAATTAGCAACACAAGAAACAACAGATGTTGTTGAGGATGTGGAGGAAGGGGAACTCTCTTACACTGTTGGTGGGAATGCAAACTGGGGCAGCCACTCTGGAGAACATATGGATTTCCTCAAAAAGATAAAAATAGAACTACTCTATGATCTAGCAATTGCACTGTTAGGTATTTACCAAAGGATACAAAAATACTGATTTGAAGGGGCACATGCACCCTGATGCTTATAACAACATTATCAACAATAGCCAGATTATGGAAAGAGCCCAAAAATTCATCAGCTGATGAATCAATAAAGAAGATGTTGTATACATCCACCCCCCCCCACACACACACAATGGAATATTACTCAGCAATCAAAAAGAATGAAATCTTGCCATTTGCAACAATGTGAATTGAGCTAAAGTATATTATACTGAGTGAAATAACCAGAGAAAGATAAATGCTATATGATTTAAATCATATGTGGAATTTAAGAAATAGAACAGATGAACATAGGGGAAAGACTCTTAACTCCAGAGACAACAAACTGAAGGTTCCTGGCAGGGAGATGGGAGGGGGATGGGCTAAATAAGTGATGGGTATTAAGGAGGACACTTGTGATGAGCATTGGGTGTTAGATGTAAGTGATGAATCACTAAATTCTATTCCTGAAACCAATATTACACTATATGTTAACTAACTGGAATGTAAATAAAAACTTTAAAAAAAAGTGGATCTCTGCAAGTTGGCCTTCTTCTAGACATTGGTCATAGGCATCTTTACCATAATGACAACATGCTATGGACTGAGGTACAGTACCGAGTAGTAAACAAGAAGCATCTTTACTACTGAAATTCCATATATTCTGATCCAATCATGTCTTTCAATATGAAAACAGTGGGATTTAATGGTGAATATTTTGATAAAAATCTGGACAACCACACTTCTGATATAGTAACTAAAAAGTCCTTTATGAGCTATTAATTTGATACTTCCCTGCCCCATATGCATATTGTTAAATATTTCTTAAGGTCTATATATTTATCTTTAAGTTTTTATTTAAAGTCCAGTTAGTTAACAATACAATGTGATATTAGTTTCAGGAGTACAACACAGTAATTCAACACTTACATTACCCAGTGCTCATCTCAAGTGCACTCCTAAATTCCATCACCTATTTCACCCATCCCACATTGTTAAATATTTAGTAATACTAATTAAAAATAAAATTGAAATGTCAAAGAACTGAGAATACTGAGGGTGCTGAAAAAATAAAAGTGTTTCCATTTACTTCCTAAATCAAAACACTCAAGGAAAAGATTATTTTCTCATGTAAACACTGTGATACTTTCAATTAGCTGACAAATTTATTTTTATACTTATCAATATAATGTTAACGCTCAAGAGGAAAATGGATTATTGAATCACTAACACCCTATTATTCATATAGTATGACGCAACATATAGTCAAGCTACTCAATAAAGATTATATGAAACAAGCAAAAATAAATTTTTTTTAGATTTACTTTAAGCAACACATATACTTCCAAATGAAAGTACATTTGAATTTTCATTATTTACTCTTCTAAAATTCTTTTGCAATTAAAACAATATATCCAGGGAAGTAAAAAAACATTAACTATGGTAAAAACCCAAAGAGCATAAAATTTACTATCTTACCCATTTTTAGTGCACAACTCAGTAGTGTTAAGTGTATCCACATTGTTGTGCACAAACTCCTAGTGACTTTTGAAATCTAGGTCATCTTGTTCTTTGTAAGTAAGGTGATTCTGGCAATGCCCCTGAGTTGCTGATCTCTCTGTGAATGTGTCTGGAAAATATAAACTTATTTTTTAATTAAACTTTTTGAAAGAAGGTAACATTGTTCCAAATTATCAATTTGTATCTGAGCAAATCAAATGAAATATTTTGAAACTCATTTGTTCTACTACTATAATGCAGGAAAACTGCTTCTTCTTGCACGTATTATTTAAATATAATTTTTTTCTTAAAATATCTGGACAATGTTTCCTTGGCATTTTTTCTTATGTTCCTGTGTACTTATTATCTACAATGTCTTTACCATCGGTGTTACGTAGGAATCATACACAGTTCACAGTAGATTACATCTGTATGTTTTGCTACATAAGATAATTTAAATTTTAAGTAACGTAAAAATCAAACCTAATGATAGCAACTTCCTCAAGCTTTATTTATGAAATTGTTGTGTTAACATATAATGTGCCAAATGAATACATCTAATTTAGAAAAGAATCAATCCAAGAGAAATGTATAAATCATATGGAAAAATGTTCCAGTGTTTCAGATTTAATGTGCTTCTGAAATTTTATTTGGTAATAGAACCGTATATTGAGTTTTATAGCACTGACTGAATTTTCTAATCTTACTCAGCCCGGATCCAAGAGGAAATTATATCAACCACTTCTATTTAGGGCAGTTAGCCTATAGTGGACTCATTCATTCTTCAGAATTTTAAACCCAGTGCTTAAGGTGAAAATTGAAAATAGTCACATTGCTCTTTAAAATCCATTATGGAGTTGCTAAGTTGATGATAAGCTAAGTATGTCTAGGCATATGGATAAAGCTGATGTGTTTTTTTATTTTTCTCTCTCCACCCCTGGAATGTATATAGATATGCATTTCATCGGTAGACAGCAATGGACTAGTTGGCTTATTTACAACTTTTTTTTAATCCCCTTCTTTTATTTTTCTTATTTCAGTATGTTATATGTTTTATTTTGGGGCTGGGCCCTTCACGGGGCACATAATCTTAAATTATGGCATTAGTTACAGCTATTTTAGTGGTCTGACTGAAGCCTAAAAGCTCTTTTTTCCATGGCCTATACTTTGGGTAGAACATTGATGTTTCCATATTTAGCTGTAAAAAGTAAGAAGGAGAAAATATTTTGATGGTTGAATAAGTATAAAATATTGAGAATCAAAAAGTGAAGAAAATCCATATTTCTAAAATATAATTTGTTTACAAAGATTTGCTAAGGTAATTTGCTTATTAATACTACTTACTTTTATCATATATTCCATTGTGTGTTTGGCACTGTGAGTGATGAAAAATGAGTATGACATTCTATTTGACTGAAAGATGAGCAAAGGTATTAAGATCAAACAAATATAACAAATTATTAATTTGGTAATTATATGTTTTGTAGTGTAGCCAATGTGTGACACAGAAATTTAGAGAAGATCAATCAATGTAGGATCATTCTCTGGAGAAGTTTTTAACTGATGACATTGGTAACTAAAATTATCATAATTTTATTGGGCAATTCATATGTCAGACACTGGACTTCATTTAATCATCCTCAAATAATCATCATGAGATAGGAAGTAATATTTGCATTTAGGTGAAGAAATGAAATTTCAAATGTCTTAATCACGTAATCTCTAATAAGTAAGTTAAAAGATGTGCTTTTTGAACACAAATTAGTCCAACAAAAGTCCACACTCTTAACCACATTCACCTACAAATAAGTTCAACTATAAAATTATTATCTGAAAATGTGAAATTCAACTTTGATTCCTAATGATAACTTGAGAAACTAGGAGCTTCTTCTACAATTACAAAATGTGAATAAACCAATACAGAAATTGTTGAAAAGAACAAAATCAGATATATTTTAAGAGATTGATAGCATTAAAGACACTGAGTTAAAAACATGCTCAATTATGGAATATATTACAGTAAAACTTTGGATGACCCTAAACAATAAAGGTTTTGAATAACAATCTGTTATTAATACCATAGTATTTAAATGTTGAATACACACTTTGTGTTAATCAGATAAGGCATGTAACTTCTGGGAATACATGTTGCAAATTGGGAACATTATTAGCCCTCCCCAACCCCTCTCCAAAGATGTTAGTAACACAAGCTTCTTAGAGGGTCATAGTGGCCTATTTACAGGGACATGTGGAGTGTGCATGATCAAGGGGCCAGATGACAGACAAGCAGCAAGTGTCTTGGTGGGACAGTACCTCTTAGAATAAATTTTCTAAACTGAGCTGAATCCACCTGGGAATCACACTACCACCCTTGAAGTAGTGCTGCTGTGCTAATGAATTTAGAACATGTTAACCTATGCCAAATCTATCTTTCCCGACGTGACTTACCTCTTCATAGCATGCAAACTTTACCTACTAAAACAAGTACAAAGCATATAGTCAGCAATGCCTGATTAACAAGGAAATTTGAACCTAGTTATCAAAAGGTGTCAATAATATCTTCAAAGTTTCTACCTCAATGTGACTCATTATGTTAACTCAATATATATTCAACAGCTTTTTTTATTGTTATAATACAACATGTCCTCTTCTTGCAATTAGAGTAATAATATGTCTCTTGGATCTTTGGAATTAATATATTACATGGACATTAGTATATATAGAGAGAATACAATTTTTAAAGAGGAACAGGTATACCACAGTGAAAACTTTTAAATGTTTTACAGATTTGTGAAGCTGGAAATCATTTCATCAATGTAATTTTGTCTCATCCTAACCACACAGGTTAGTCCCTTTTTCTCTTTATCTTCTCTGGTGTGAGTTAATCTAGTGTGATGTTAATTATTACTTTCAAAGCCTTAAGTGAACACTTTTTTAAAGCAATAGTTGGAAACATGTAAGACAATATGCCCCAAGGCTAGCCCCTTTATGCCTAAGTTTTTCAAATTTTGAACTAAATCATATTTCCTAATAATGGTTTCTCTAAAATGAAGTATGCATGCCCTCCTCAGAACAAATGATAACCTCACTTAAATATATGAAAAAATAAAGAGATATTACTAATAAAGGCAATATAAAATTCAGTGATACAGATCTAATTTCTTAACTCTCAATCTTGATCTAATTTGCATAATAATGGACACAATCTCACTATATTTCAATTGACTTCTTAAGCTTTTTTCTAATAAAAGTGATCATTGTTTAGCAAATACAGTAGCTATAAAAAAATAGCAATGCCTAGGAGGACATTTTGAATTCAGTAGTTAGTTAAAAAAAATTTTTTTTTTTAAATTTACACTGTTTATCTAAAGCTCTTCTTGGTAAATCAGTCCTGTCATTCAGGCTTAATTATATGTAAGGATTCACACTGTTTTTTGTACATGATACATGATTATATTATACTTTCAAATAACAATGGTCAACATTTGGATTTCATTTTGTTATCAATCTCGCTGAAAATATAAACGTGTATTTGTCTCAAGTATGTTTTAATATCTACCTGAATGTCTTAACATTTTCTTGCCTTGCATATTTCTGGCAGTCTGGTGAAATATTTTCCAGAATAATACTTACACATATAGAATTAAAAAGGAAATTTATTATGTTGGTATATTTGTGAATGTATAAAAAAGCCAAAATATATAACATTTTTATTACATTACATAATCCTGTGATAACTACTCAACTTCTTGAGTATTGATGAACATATAGAGATAGAGATAGATACATGGATATCTAAAATAACTATAATATGATTTGAAAATATCTGTACTCTCTCTTGCTGAAAAATGTTAACAGATTAATGCCAGTACTATAGTGGTTTACTGTCTGCTTTTGCCTTACAGTAGAGCCTGCATTTAATTAAATGGTTGGATGCCATTTTTATCTTATCTATATTCATGATTTACTGAGTTCTCTTTGGATGTATTTGAAGCCTAAAAGTTCTGATAGTCTGATTTGTTTTTGTGTAGAAACACAATACAGTCCTATAAAAATACTAACATTACCAAAGTTATGAATATCACTAATTTTAGTCTTGACTATGAACCCTTAACAACATTACCTTGCTCAAGTTTCTTCATCTTGTCTGGATTCTGGTATCATTATATGAAAATGAAAATTTCAGGGGTTCCTGGGTGGCTCAATTGGCTGGGTGTCCCATTCTCAATTTTGGCTCAAGTCATGATCTCATGGTTTGTAGGATTGAGCACCTCCTAGGGCTCTGTGCTGACTCCACGGAGCCTACTTGGGACTCTCTCTGTCCCTCCTGTGCACTCTCTCTCTCTCTCTCAAAATAAATGAATAAACATTTAAAAAATAAAGAAAATGAAAATTTTTAAATCATCATATTTCTAAAGTCAAATGTAACTTTGGAATTGTTCAAATGAAAAAAACTTTTTTTTTTCTTCAGGGTTCACTCCGCCTTTTATCTTGCTTGTATGTTGCTCTTGAGAAATCAGAAATCTAATCTTCTCTTCTTTGTTTATTGACTTGGTCTTTTTGCCTTCAGACTCAAAAGAATTTTTCCTTATCACTACATCTATTAATTTTGTGAGGTGTGTCTCAGAGTTGATCATTTCAGGTCAGTTTTCCCAGATACATGATGTAATTTTCCAGGATACTGATTCATGTCCCTTTTTTTAGTACCAGAAAGTTTTGTAATTTAAAATTTGTTTTGTTGCTTTTGGACTGGGTCAGGGGGTAAATTGTATATGTATTATATTTTATATCTTATATATCTATCACTTTCTATTTTTTTCCTTCTTGTTTGCTTGTTTTGGCTGGTTTTGTTCATCTACTTAATATCCCCTATTCTAGTGAACATTCTACTCTTAGGAAAATTGAAAAGTCTATATTACTGAGATGATTTTTTTTTTCTACAATTTCTTTCTTGAGTTCAATCAACTCTCATCTTTTCTTTTTTTCTTCCTGTTTTGGCCATATCTATTTTGAGTTTGGGAATTCCCTTTTTTTTTTTTTTTAAGTTTATTTATTTATTGTGATAAAGAGAAAGAGAGAGCACTCACACACGCGCATGAGCAGGGTGGGGGCACAGAGCAAGGGAAAAAAAGAATCCCTAGCAGGCTTTGCACTGTCAGCGCTAGAGCCTGATGCTGGGCTCCATCTCACAGGTTTGTGAGATCACGATGTGAGCTGCAAGCAAGAGTCCAGGGCTTAATAGACTGAGCCACCCAGGTGCTCCCTCAATTATTTTTCTTTTGATGAATATATAGGCATTACACAAAGACATTTACATGAATGCTATCAAGAGAATATGATATTAAATGGCATATGTATTTATCTTTATCTTGAAATGAGCAGTACATGAAATCTGTACAGTACCTAACATATTTTTTGTTGATATTTTAACAATAGATACAACTCTGAAAACAACATACTGGCATTTCATTATGACTTTAGAATTATAACTAAAAGAGATTAGTTGATGTGTTATCCAATTAAACTTGTTATGGAGAATAAACAGTAATTTTATAATTCATATTTACTTTTATAAATGTCACAGCTCAAAGTTCAACTTGAAATAATTTTAATATGCTATCTAAAATATTTCTTGAACAAAATTAAAAGGCAAAGAATCACAAATATCAAGTGACAATATGCAAAGTATAATGAAAATTGTAAATAACAACCCTGATTGCTGAGCAGAAGTAATTTATGTGGTATTTCTGAATATTAACTATGGTGATATTCATTGTAATCCTCTTATGAGAGATTTTTCACACTTTTCTGATATAAATGACATCCTTACAAAATTCCTTTTGGATTTTCACTAATTAAATAGAAAGGGAGGTTTGAAGTATTAAACAATCTCAACCAAAAATATCTTCTTTGACACTAAAAGAGAAGAAGCATGCAATTGTTAAAGCATATTTACTAATTGTAGTATGTAATTCAGCTGCAACTATTATGATATGCAAAATAACATTTTTGTATTAAATTTTAAAGAACTGATTATCATGGTATATTGTATAAATGTATGGCAACATAGCTGTAGACATAGAAAATTACAGGTATATTGTTTGAGTCAAAAGGCCATAGCATTTCAAACTGGGACTCTTCTGAGTAATTTGGGAAGTTAGTTCTATACATAATTGATGACATTTTATGTGGTGTAAGTTGTTTTAGGGAATTTAGAATTATATAATACATATATGATTAAATTGCAGTATGTACCATCATTGATATTTTATTCTTTCTAAAAGGAGTTAATGCCTGTTTTCCAAGTCCAAATTATAACCCCTTCACATGGATGTTTTTTCTGGTTTCATGTCCTAACTACACCTATGAGGTATGCTATTTATGTATGTAAATAATTAAACATTATTCTATGAGAAACTAAATGCATGTGTTTCTATATTTACAAGTATTAAAGTTTAACATATATAATTATACAGAGGATTTATCTGTATATATAGGCATAGACAGATATATAAATTATGATATAGATTCAATTCGAGTTATACGCATGGGAAATTGGAACATTTACGTAAACTACAATTTTCCCTGCAGAAAATGAATATCTTTCCATATATATATTTTTAAACAAAATTTTATAATTTTCATATAGAGTGTCTTGAGATGTTTCAGGATTCTGTTTTTTATCAAAGTTTTTGGAACAATGTCTTTCATTTCTTATTTTATGAATATGATGTTGTTTATGGGATTCTTTATCATAATTAACAACAAAATCTTTATTTGGGGAAAATGTATTTCTACCAGTAGTTTTTCTATCGTGTTTTAAGCTTCACATTACCTATTTAAAACCACAAATAAAAAATTCCTAGATTAATCATAGTATTTTTAAATTTATGCTTTAATATAACAGATTGGATCATGGATTAGTTTCACTGTCATGACACAAACACTGCCAGGTAAGACCTTGGTTATTTGACATTTAAGTAAATGCTCCTTTAGGATAAGTGATTTCTGAGAACAAGTTTCTGTAGTGCTAAAGTTTGGCATTTTTGCAAAAGGATTTTTTTGCTTTCATTTTTATCTTTATTTTGGATATTTTTAGCAGTATTAAAATATATTGGAACAAAAATCTCTAGGTACTTATGGCTTAATGTAGCCCAAAAAAATTAATTAAGCAAAAAGGATTTACTCATAAGAAGTTGTGTTAATAATGCACTTCACTTGAAAATCTCTTTTATGATGAATATAGGCATATGTATGTGTTATGTCCTTCAAGTGTTCATGAATGTCTCTGAATAGAAGGCTGGGAGCATGAGTGTGTAATCTCAAATGCTGGGCATTTTAACACACATAAGAGAGTTAAATTGCATTGAACTTCATGTATTGGAAAGTATATCGATTACATCCATTTCACACATTATTTATTTCACTATACAAAATTTTTAAATCATAATTTTTGTGGTTTGCCATATGCATGTGTGTAGACATCTATTATCTGCATATAGAAAACTATTATTGAACAATTCAAAGAGATAACAATTCCTTATTTGGAAATACTTTGTGGCAGTGGGATATAAAAAATGTGGATTATTTTGAACTCTGCTATATACTTTCAATGTTTCTACAACTACGCAATAAATATGGATGAACATATATTATGCTAAGCAATTAATATGAGTAAAGAAAATTGATATAGAAGTATGCAACATTTGAGAAATATTTTAAGAGCTACATAAGATAGTTTTTTTTCCCAGTATAACTGGGTATATTGATCATAGAAATAAGAAAGGATAATTATTTCTTTTTTCTTCTAGTTGGGATTTTTACACTTCTGATGAGTATCCAGATGTCTTTGTGGGCACAAAAGAAGCATAAGATTTATTTGAAGAAATTCAATTCTTATATGCATAGAAAATCAGCCATGATTCCATTCATACTGTAGTAAAAATAACTTATCTCATGTATATAAAAATAGTATATAAATTCACTAAATCAAACTTGGTCAATAGTTGACTATTATGTAACAGAAATTCAAAACAAACAGTACTTTTATTGAATAAAAATATTAAATGGTAGATTCTAGCTAACTTTAGAGTAGTAAACGAGGCAAATAAAAAGTAGAAACTGTAGATACGACTAATAAAAGATACATCCAAATATTTTCAAGGGATTGGTCTTTGAACAAGATTTTCTTACTTCATTAAATGTTTCATAATACTATCTGCTTAAGACAATTAAAATATCTGAATTATAAACTAAAAATTTGTGATTTTAAATCACCTGAATTTTACACATTTTCATGGTAATTTATTATTTTTTTTATTGTTTAGCATGTTATTGAAAAGTATAATATGTCACAGTAGTATTTCAATTTCTAGTGAAAATTCTACCAATATTAAAAGTGAAACATAATTTCTCATGAATCATATTTATTTATTCATATATACATTGTATGTTGTCATTCTGAAACTATAATAATTAAAAATATCTTCTAGACATTATTTACTAAATCATTTGAATATATACTTTGTATCAAAATATATATTTATATTTACATATAAATTATATTTATATGTAAATATATATTGAATTATGTATACTTCAAATGGACTATATGTGATGACAATACATTGGAAATTTTTTTTAATTAAGAGTGGAAATATTTTTTGCTTTATTTTTACATATTTAAATTCCTATGTCCTCTCAAACTTTGTTTGCATATATGTAAGTATGTATGTGACTATGCATATATATTTTGACAAAAAGATGACTGGTGTTATAAAAATCAAGTACACATTAGTTAAAAATTTTAAAGAAATTCTGAGTTTCCTTATTTTTAAACTGGGATTTTTTAGATTGGTTAATTTCTGCAGCGTTCTAAGTTTTACATAATCAAAATATTCTAATTAAAGTTCTTAGATTATATACATATTTGTAAAATGTTCTTGGTAAATGTAGGTGTATATACCTTCTGTGGGTGTTTATCATTAATATATGTAGCAAATTATTCAAGAAATAACAAAAGCACCCCTTTGAAAAGCTCTGTTATCTTCCCTAAATATATAGTATTAAAATATCTCAGAGGAAGACACATAACTTTAATTACCTAATACCTATTCAGCAAAATATCATGGACTCATTTGAAAGTATTAACAGTAGGTACTATGAATTAAACCACATACACTGAATGCATCTACGTTATCAACCACCTGTGATAATCATCCCTTTGTTGAAAGACAAAGAGTAGTTTATGTTTTCTTAACTGGATTCAGACTGATGCCAACTCAGGAACTTTGCATATTCTTATAGGATTAGAAGATCTTTGACCAATAATTGCACTACTAGGCATTTACCCAAAGAATATAAGAACACTAATTCAAAGGGATACATATACTCTTTTGTTTCCGCAGCATTATTTACAATAACCAAGATATGAAACAACCCAAATGTCCATTGATTGCTGAATAAAGATGTGGTATATACATACAATGGAATACTCTTCAGCCATAGCAAAGAGTGAAATCATCCAATTTGCAATGACATGGATGGAGATAAGGGTATTATGCTAAGTGAAATAAGTCAGTCAGAGAAAGACATACCATATGATTTCAATCCTATTGGGGCTTTAAGAATGGCGGGGGGGGAGAGACATAGAGAGAGAGAGAAACAGACTCCTAATTATAGAGAACAATCTGATGGTTATGGAATGGGATAGGCTAAGTAGATGATGGGGACTAAGAGGTGCACTTGTCATGATGAGCACAGGGTAATGTATGGAACTGTTGAATTATTATATTGCACACCTGAAACTAATATAACACTGTATGTTAACTATCTGGAATTAAAATTTAAAAAAAAACTTAAAACAAAACAAAATACTTCCATTTTTATTACCCTAGGATTTCAAAGCAGGCCATAGGATTTGTCCTTAGTGGACAAGAATAATAATTGTTCTAAGTGGATCAGTAGCTCAGCAGTCACACTGTTGCTCCTAAAGTCTTCTCAAAGGTGAGCAGATATGATGCCTCAGCAAATAGGATACTGCACAAATGAGATGTTCAAGCAGCTAAGTTTAATCGGAGAAAAACTTTTGAAAATAAAAAAATTTTTGCAGGTACAATATGTCTTAGCTTTTATTTCTATATTTGGCAAATGGAAACATGTAAAATCATGTAAAAACATGTAAAATTTCTTCTTTGATAACTGACAGAACAATATAGAATTGCCTACCAACCCTTCATGATTAATAAAAACAACATAAAAATAGCATTCTAAGTTATATTTTCATGGCTATTCCAAAGTAATGTATAATTTCTCCAAATGTCCTCTACTTTCTGATTTAACAATCTAAAAAATAATTATAGACATTAAACAAAATCACAATAATTTGTTTATATAATATGCTGTCCCAAATATGTTTCTTTATACCATAGTCTCCCTGAGTGTCAAAATTCTCACCTTATAAGTAAAATACACTTACATCATCAAATTCTGAAATTCTTGTGTATTTTCAACAATAGTGATTTTTTTTTGTCAAGGTGAAGATTCTGGGAATATAAAAAACTTATACATTCCCTGCTTTCATAAAAAAAGGACAAAAGAGGCCCTATTTCTGATTTGAATGAGGTATGTATATACATGATATCTTCATATAAGTGATGTGAGTTTGGTCAAGGAGTTTTGTAGTTTGGGAAATGGACACATTTAATGCTATCAGTAGCTATATCAATTGGGAAATAATTCTAAGATGTTGCCACTTCACAACAAACTTTTCATAATCCATTTATTGATGAATTTGTTAAAAAACTAAATGTCAGCTGTGGGCAATCATAAGAGGAAAAAACGGGAATATGTAGTTTCTGCTTTTTATATAGTTTACATATTTAGGACATAACAATTCATTAAAAATATTTAGTAGAATTAATTGAAATTAATTAAAATAAACATACTAAAAATATTATCCTTATGTTTTATTCTTTTATTTACTGGGCTGTTTGGATATAAAGGAATGGACATTACCTCAAGCTGTAAATTCCTGTTCAAATTTTGGAACTGGGAACCTGATTGACATGATCTGTCTTCTCTCAGGCCACATCTCTATTACAATATCTTAAAATGCATATTCTTTCCATTTCTATCACTTTTGCAGAACATACTATTTCTAAAAACAAAGCGAACACCCCTAAAGTCTGAACCTAAAATATATCATGAGGGTTATAAATCTTTTTTTCTGAGAAATACATAGATCTATAAATTTGTGTCCAATGAGATCTTTATAGATTGGGTTATTTATTGGTTTATTTGGTATTTTATAACTCCTCCAACACATCTAGATATAAATCAGTTTACAGGGTCTTTAGGAGAATGAATCTATGCAAAGTAGACTAGACCAGATTGGGCAATGAGTCTCATGTAACGTGTCCCTCCATCAAAAATAGAACTTACTATATCTTCATTAATAAAGGCCTCATTCAAAACAAAGGCTGGAAATAAACTTAAGCAGGAGTTCAAAAATATAATCACGGATTTCAGCTTCTATTGTCCAGATCATTTAATAAAATGATTATTATGATCCCTACCAAACTATAGCTTTGCACCTTCCATTTGGAGTGTTTAAGAATGGTAGCCAATAATATATTTAAATTTATGAATGTAATTAATCTTATGAAAGTAAATAAATTAACATCAGAGTTTTCAGACTGATACTGGATTTGTGATTACATATAATACTTTAAAAAATTAGACTTCACTTAATCTAATAATTCCTCTAATAGCTGCTTTTTTTAAATAATTCTGGAATAATACTTTCTCTGATCCCAAATAAAATTTTGCAAATAGTGTTTCTAAAATACCACATCTTTATCTCTCACAAATTTCTTATAAAAAGTAGCTAGAGAAAGAAAATAATCAGAGGAAAAACAACAAAATTTAAATCAGCTGCTATGCTACTCCATATTATCACAGCATGCCTCTATTCCCCACTCCTCATCATGTCTACCTCAAGCTGCTATTTTAAAGGTGTTTTTGGTTTGTTTGCATGTGTTTTTAAAAAATGTTTTGGCTAATTTTGAATAAAAATAGACCTGTAGTTCATTTTTTCTTTTAGCAAGTTTTGTGTAAAAAAAGTTATTCTCTGACTCATACACACACACACACACACACACACACACACACACACACACAGAAATTTTAAACAATATTTCTTAAGAGAAAGACTATGTTGTGTCAAATAATTTTTAAATAAATTAAGCATATTCTTATTTTTTAAAATATGCATGTTTTATCTTTTCTATAGAAATGTTAAGTCTAATGTCTAAGAATAGTAAATATTAAAATTCAATGTTGTAGTTGAATATCTTGTATACTGACATTTAATCTTCAGTAACTAAATGCATTTTGAAGATATTTTAAGTTCAATTTTAAGTAACTGGCATTCAGAACATGTTAAGTTTTAGCAGCTGATATATTTCAGTTAAAATATTTGTTCTCATGAGATGAAATACAATGACCTGTGAATCAGTAGTAAGGGTTCTTTATATTTTTATTTTAATAAAAAAGAAAACCTTTACATTGCTCCTGGATATTAAAGGTGATTACAGCAAATGTTACTTTATAAGCACAATTAAAGGCATTTATGCAGCTTTTGCATAATGATAATAATTAAAAACCATTTATTTTAAAGGCTGCTTAAAAGTTAATTTTCACCCAGGTGCATATTGAAGCCTATAATTAGCCTTTCTTCAGAGGAGTTTTGGTTGAGGAAACACATAAAGGCATTTCCAAAGGCAGAAGTTCACTGCTAAAATGGGATTTTGGTTTTTAACTTTAGTTTGATAATGGTGCTTAAAATATGTGAGAACAAATGCTCCGAAATACTTTAAAAAATGAATCTATAATCATCCCAGATTGATTTCATTGAGAAGACATATAGAAGACCTATTT